TATATATATATATATATATATATATATATATATATACATATATATATATATATATGTATATTAAAATATTGTGTTAATCTTATCTTAATAGTATTATGAGTTTAATTAAAAAATTATATCGTGCATTACAAGAGTTGTAGATCTAATTATTTTAAAATGAGTGTATCGAATGGTTTCTCAAAATCAGTTGTGTGAAAAACTGAAAACAAATATAAGATGTTATGAAATCAAATACTGGATAAGATGTGTCAAGTGTCCTATGGTTATAAATTAAGCAAATAAATATAGAAATTTTTATTTAAAATTATTTGATGCCACTAAAATAATATATATATTAAATACTGGCCTTGTTAAAAATGGTTTTAAGCGAAAGATTCATTTTATTTTAAATTGCATGAATTTACATTTTATAAGTGACTGTATTGTATCATCTAAAGAATATCAATTATTCTAACTCATTTAAAATATTGATTCATAACTCCATTAAAGTAGGCTTAGTTAGTGTGGTGGGTTGGCAGGTTGGGTAGTTTTATGAGATTTTAGTTTTGCATTTCTTTACTGCCATTATATATAAAAAGGAATTAATTCATAAATATAAATTAATTTTCTAATATTAATTCCTTCAAAATCATTTCGAGGCAAAAATACAAATGTTTAAAAATTATGGGTCTCACACCTAAAACAAATTATACTAACTGAACAAATTATTTTTTTATTAAAAAAAGATATATTTGTCAAAAGTAATCCTACTTACTAAATTGTTAATATGAGGCGAAAATATTACATGTTTGAGTCAAACTATTTTGCAAAAGAAATTTAGTCTCTTTAGATTATAAGGTGTATTTTGAAAACATGTTACAAGCTCATTCAAACATTTCGTTTGACTGATGTAAACAGTCTCTCAGAGCATTTCTGATTAGAGATTACTGTGTCACTAAATAAAGAATGAGGAAAAATGATTGTACCTCAAAGTTGTACCTCTGGTATACCATAACTAAACTGTTGATCTCATTAAGAATAATGTCAAACTCCAGGCTAGGTTTCTCATAGATGAATGATTGATCAAATGCTTACATCAATAACTATTATATTCAATACATGCTCTTTCAACGTAACCAATTTACACAGTTCACCATGGAACTGGTATTTGATATGCAGAATAAGAATTCGAAGAGCAACTTACAGGACTCTGGTAGCAGTGAAATTATACTGCAAAAATTATACATAAAGCCTGTTTGGATACAAACTAAATGTTTTTAAGAGTTTTTCCAATAAAAATATAAAGAGTATTTTTTAAATGAGAATTTTTCAAAAACACTTTTAAATTGTATCCAAACAAGCTAATAATCCGATCTGATCCTTCAAGAGAAGTGGTTGAGTGTGAGTGGAAGTACAATGTGCTTCATTCACAGGGGTAACTTGATTTTCTCAGACCATTTAAAGATATCAGAATACACCTTATCACCTCCTAGTTCTTCTCCTGAGGCCCCAGCAGCCACTCTTATAACATCCTCAATCAATGCAAAGTTTCCCATGATGTCAACATGAGCACCACTTTGTGTTCCCCTGCCCTCTAGAAGGTTGGCCGGAGGAGAATGATCATATTCTCTAACGTAGGTGCGAATACCGGAAGGGTTAAATCTTGTTTTTCCGCGCCAACCTTTGGCACACATGAAGCCTGAACTTAGAACTGGCACAGTCTCATCGCCATCAACAGTGTAGACACCACCTTTTAGACAACTGTCTTCGTCACTACCACCATCTGCGTGAGGGTCAATTTCAAAAGGAATGTAACACTCGGCAAAGGGAGTTAACTTGTAAATATAAGCTCTTTCAGTTGGTAAGCCAACTCCATACATAGAGAAGATTTCCATATCAGGAGCATTTGGTAATCTGCAATTATTTTGGGGTAGCAAAAGACATCAATTAAATAGGTGACCGAATAAAGTGTACACAATACAAAATCCTACATATGAGAAGTGATCAACACATTGTCTACCAAAATAAATAAACTGACAGAAGTAAGGAATCAAAATTCTTACTTTGTTTCCAAGGGGTTTGACCAATATTTGTAGTGATTGTATTTAGGATCATCCAAATTGTCAGCAATTCCATAAGAGAAATGAGCACTACCACGAGCCATCATCTTTGGAGCAACAAACTGAAGCAGGTCTACGATTGAGTCAGCTGTGTAAATTTTATGCTCAGCAACTGCTCTTACTCCCTCCAATCCCATTTCATGGTATTCAGTCCACACATCACGACAAGTGGTATTTGCAACACTCCGACCCTTGATGGCACCCTGTTAACAATAAACTTAGTGTAAACTATAATCATAATGGATTCATGAACAAGCTTATAAAGTTATAGGGTTAGTTAGTAAGGAACAAGCATACATAGTTGACAACATTTTCATACATCTTTATGTTGAACAAGCATACATAGCTGATAGGAACAAGTTGGTTCTATGACTTCTACCACAACTCACAAGCATACAAGACTAGACCTATTTCAAGATTCATAGGCTCACCCGGAAGTCAACCATCTCAATCTTAGAGAAATGTGCCTCCGCCACGTCTCTTCCGAATGATATAATTCTTCCATAGTTGACATTTGTTTGATTTGTCTCTTGGCTTGCCAACTGAGTATAGTTATTGTTTTGCTTTCTCTTTCTAGGGAGATAGCCTTCCTCTGGTGACCAATCAAGATCACCCCATATAGTATTTCCTCCTCTTGGTATCATTGACATTGTTGAGTCCCAAGTACGGGTCATCTTCATTACATGTTGCAAGGTTTGAAGGCGAAACAAATCGTTATCTAAAAATCCTGGTGCTATTGTCCTTGATATATAACAAGAAAGAAAAAAAAATAGTGTAAGTTATTGAACAGTTGGCTGAACAAAAAACAAAAAATTCTATAGCATGAGTGCCAGATGAAATTTGAATATGGTTTCTCTAATACAGATAGTACTAATAGGCTAAGCAGAAAATGTTGGACACTATTATTTACTTAACAAAGTGTTTTTGTAGAAGTTTATTCACACAAATCCAAAACTCATCAAGTAATCAACAATTTGCTGCTTAACAACTAACATGACCAATAAGTAAATTTACCTGGCAACAGCAATATCCCTGGCCTCAGCTGAAAAAAGGCCAGCTATAGCCTTGGGAACACCTAAAAATGGTCCACCAATGTTTACAACTGCCTTTATATATTTGGAACACCAATCTGGTCCTCCCCCACCACCCATTGGAGCTGGTGCTTCAACCCACTTCATAAAATGAAGAAAGTACAACACACCCATTGAGTGTGGAATAATAACTGCCTTATTCCCACCATTAGTAGCAACCATAAGTTCTATGTTGCTTTTTATCCGACTGAGTGTTTGATCCCTAACCTGATCAAGTAATTTAACAATTAGAGAACAAAAACAGATTCAGTAATTCTTGTCAATCTTATTATTATTACAGGTGAATAATGAATGTAGTACTTCTTTTGGTGAGGGCCATGAGGCATAAGAACTCTAGGTAAATAATACCTCAGTGTTTTGAAATGATATTCTCCAATCATATGCAGCCATGTGCATAGTTTTTTCTTCATAACCAATGCGTGCCAAGTTAGCAATTAGGACTGCCCATACAAAGTATCCTGCAGCAAAGTAATCAGCAGCTACAAGTCCAGAGACAGGCCTAACTCTTATGCCAGGTGGATCCAATCCCGTTTCATTGTCCAGTGACATGTGCTCCACCCAGCATGAAGGTCTACAAAACATCCATAAAGAAACAAGACATGAATCCTCATCCCACCATTTCTAGGCCTACGGGAATTTAGTTACAAGGATGTCAAGCTCTAAAGTTTAGGTAAACTCGTGAAGTTTCTGTATACTTGACTCGTAAACTCAACTTGTAAACTAGCAAGAGTTTACTAGTATAAAAACATTTATTAAAAAAAAAAAACTACAACATAAGGTGAAAACCTCATCACAAGCCATAATTGGATACACAAACATAGATCTCCATGCTTGTAAATATGATAAATTGTCATCTAATTTGGCTCCAAAACAGGTCTAGCCAGTGTTGTTAAAAGTCACAAACTGTAGTTATATTAGTTTTTTCAACATGGTATATTAGAATTTAGAAGGATAGAATGGTGGTTGTCTAGAAAGTATTACACATCAAGGCACAAAATAGCTTAGTTATAGTTTTTACAAAGCCTTCTATTAGTACACAATTACATATCCTTGATCCTTCACAACTTTGGGTTGTTCTGATAATTCACGATGGATGTCAGGTTCTAGCCATTTTCATGAAAGAAGGATGTTAAGTTAACAACACTATTTTGATAGTAACAAAACTCAAACTACAACTGAGCTTCAATTGGTTTGCAGAAGACATAATTTGATGTGGATTTGATTAATTTGTGCAGTTGATCTAAGCCCTAGTAAGTAAAATGTCGCATTATGTTGGCTAACAAAATGGTGCACAAGCAGCATAAAACACCATCGTTGTGGTCCATTGGGGGTAAAAATTATATTTGGATTTAAACTCACTAAATTGCTTCTTGACTTAGGTTTGTAAGAGTTTACCGAGTTTATTCAAAAAAGAGTTTGTCAACAAGGTAGCTCAATTTCTCTACCTAGAAACATAAACTCTTACCTGAGAGTTTGATAATAATAGTTACAAGTATCAAAAGAATAGATTAAGATTGAATGTAAAAAGAACTCTGGTCTCCGGGTAAGTAAGAAGTGGCATCCCAAAGCCATAACCAATACTTGTACTTCCGTAACAATTCAATTCAAAAAAGATTACTGGTAATAAGAATAAATAGTGTATGGACTTTTGTATGCTTTCAATGGTGCAGTTCAAAAATACTGGAATTCCTATATCAGAAGTTCAGTGTTTGACCATACTGGTGATTGACTATTGCTTCATCCATCAATCGTTGAATACTTTTGAAATTATCTGTCTTGTGAAAGTAATGAAACTAATGTCAATCAAAAACATTCTCTATACTTTCAAACTGAATAGTCCTTCCATAGTTCCACTCACAAAATTGATACAGAAGAAACTAAATTTTCTACCATCAAGCAAGACTTGCATTTAAACAAGTTAAAGGTGAACTTAAAACTAGTCAATCCAATATTTTTCTTCTCAGATGAATATTAGTAGTGGCATAGGAACATTAATTGAGGACAATTTGATCAGAGTCAAGGGTTTATAGTAAAACAATGTTGGACCACACACTATTCAAATAAAGACAAATTCTGAGAACAAACTTACTTTCTTACGACAAGTTAATTCAAACAAAATAACTCAAAAGCAAAAAATTCAACCATCTCAAGCAATCTCATCATGAACCAAAACAAGGCCATAAAAGGGAATCCCCTTTCAATTAACTGCTTCCAATGACCTCGCCAATCATGGAAACAAGTTGACAAATGGCAAATCCATCCAATAATTCGAAACTAGAATGACATATTCACCAAATCACCCTACCATCCAAACATCATCGAACGTTACCTATTTAAGACCATTCCAATCTGTTATCACCAATTACCATCCTGATCATTACAGCCAAAAACAGAAAACACAACACACCAACACCATAAACCACTTACCTAGCAGCATAACTAAACAAGCCACATCCAAGCATCACCACCAAATCAAAGAAGAGTAAATAGTACTTGCATATTTTTACAATCCAATCACGTCACAGATTGTCGTATCTGATAAATACTACAATAACTACCTTAAAAGTTATATCACATCTACCATGATTTGTGATCGATTGAAAGTGTAAAAATTGACTAAACATGTAAATTAAACTCATTAAAGTAAAGTAACAAACAAAAACAAACACAAGCAAGGTTGTTTGATGATACCTTTTATAGACTTCTCCGAAAGTGCCACCCCACAAGCGTTTCCTGAACAAGCCCTCAGAGCACTGATGACCCTCCCATAGTTCAAGGCCTCCGGTGACAATCCCGGGCACAAAAACCACAGGGTGCTTGGCCTTGAGCCCCTCCTTCTTGAGCTTGAGGCCCGGTGGGTCAGGCATGGGCCCAGTGAAGGCCTCAGTCACATACTGAGGAAGCGAAGAAGGCATCATCTGATACATAAACAGAAGAAACCACCATACCGTGCAAATGCAACCTACGAACCAACAACACGTGTCGATGCACGACCATTTGTTCCTCTTCACCTTCGCATCTTTCTTCTTCTTAGTCTTGTTCTTATCATTATCATCTTCCTTATCCTCTTCGCTTAGAATCTTCGGCTCCGAACTCGGACTTGGATCCTTTTCCGCTTCCGACCCTTTTCTCCGTCGAATCAAAGACATGTTCTAAGACACGTTACAAACTTCAAACCTGAATTCCCTCGAAAAATACAATCAATTTTTTTTTGTTTACTTTTGCCCCATATAATTATAAACAGATGGGGTTGCCTTATTCTTCAGAAAGATTGAAAATTTAAACGGAAATGAAAAGCTCGTGAATCAAAATCGCAATGGGCAGCTCGACGAGCTAAGTTTTCTTTTTTTTTTTTTAAAAAAAAAAGTTTCAGTTTTTTTGTGTTCAGTGAGAAACGGGTTCAGCTGAAGATTGAAATGTTAAAGTAGCTTGTCTATTGGTTATGGCATCTCTAGACCACTGTTTCTTTCTGTCTTTTGTATTTTCTCTGAGATTTTACCGAGAAAAAAGCATAAGGTAATAAGGAATTTTGGAAGGTGCGATAATTGGATGTGTTAAGTGATGGTGTAGGTCTGAGATTTAATTAGCAAATATAAAGTTGAATTTTATGTGGCCGAATTTAATTGGTTCAGTTAACGAAATCAGCACATCGTCCTGAAGTCAATTATTGGTGTCTGAAATCTGCATTATTTAATGCCTTGTCATGAAAAGGACAAAGAGTGAGATGTGGATCGATGAAACAATTGTTAATATTTCTTTCAATACAAAATCCAACCGCAAGATTTATCTTCTCTGCAAAGATCTAACTCTGGTAGTTTTAATAAAATGATTGTTGAATAAATATTAATTATTTATTTTATTATTTTCAAAAATATTTTAAATTTAAACATTGTTAAACATATGTTAAAAAATTATAGGCTAAAACCTTAATTTAGTCGCTTATAATATTTGTTTGTTTTAATTTAGTCTCACTTTAATTTTTAATTTTAATTTGGTCTCTAATAATTTAAATTAGTGCAATGTCGGACTTCCGTCCAAATTATTTAAACAAAGTTAACTATTGGTCACATGGATGCCACGTAGATACATAAGTGGATGTCAAATTTCTTTAATGCATCTGGAACAAGAACGGCACATTCTGGTCTGGTTCCAAAATGTCAAACACAAACGGTTGATGATTATAGTTCACGGTTGTGAATCGTACAAGGAAAAAGACCCACGGTACAAAGCATTTCAAACACTGGAGTGAATCACTTACTACCGAATTGACACTATACAGTCAAGGATGAAACGACATGGTGTTTTCCCTTGAAGTTATTGACCGATGTACCTCAACAACAACAACTTGTTCTTGAGGAGGTACAACCTGAAGTAAAGGAAGAGGATACACAGGACCAACATTTCACCACACAATCACATGTACAGTTAGATAATGCTGATATCCTATCAGTCATTCAGTGTTATATGGTGGATAAGATGTATTATTGGCACCTTCAACGTTATCCAGATGATTTTCCTTATCAGTAATTTCTTTGAACTTTCTTAGTATATGTTATGTTATGAACTTTTATTTTCTGTCTCTGAACCATATTTCTGTCTTTGAATTTATGATATGTTATGAATTATTATTTTCAATTTTTGAATCACATTGCGGCATTTTGTTGAACGTACGTATGTGGTTGGCGTTCTATAACGGTCCGTTTTGAATCTAGAATGGTTCGTTCTAAAATCAGAACGGCCCGTTCTGGTTTCAGAATGGCCCGTTTTGCTGCACTCGTGGTGTGTTAATTTTGCATCTGGAATGACCCGTTCCAGATGTAAAATTAACACACAACATGTGCAACCAGAACGGGCCGTTCTGGTATCAGAATGGACCGTTCTGGTTCCAGGTGCATTCAAAAAATTTGGCATCCACCTATGCATCTACGTGGCATCCACGTGGCCAATAGTTAACTCCGTTTAAATAATTTGGATGGAAGTCTGACATTGCAATAATTTAAATTATTAGGGACCAAATTGAAACCAAAAATTAAAGTGGAACTAAATTGAAACAAACAAATATTATAAGGGAACAAATTAGGTTTCTAGCTAAAATTGTATTATCATTTGATATTTAAGAAAAAAGATAAATACAACATATTTTCATGTTTAACTTTTACATGAGATTATTTGTGTGTTTTTGTAATACTCTAAGTTTTTGTTTAATTATTATCTTTTAATAATAATTATGTGTTGAGTTATTTTGATATATAATTGAGAGATTTTGAGAATTAAGGAAACTCTCAAAGAATATTTGTGTCTTTTGTAACATTGTAAGTTTTTTTAATTAATTATTATCTTTTGATAATAATTATGTGTTGAATTATTTTGATGTGTGAATGAGAGATTATGAAAGTTAAGGAAACTATTGAGGAGTCCTTAAGTGTTTTAAAGGATTTTTGTAGGTAGAGGTTCAGTTTGACTTTTAAGAGGAGAAGTATATACGATTTCTTTTAAGAATTAAATTTCATAAGTTTAGTTCTTGAGAACCTTAGAGAGATAAACTAGAGAGAAAGTCTCTAGAATTCTAATCTTCCCTTTCTTCTTTCTAGGCTCCCTTAAGGCATAAAGGAATTCCATTTGATGCTTAAGTAGTGATTAGATACCCTTAGTTGAAGATTATCATTGTAGAGGTGTGGTGTAGAGCTTTTTGTTGCTTGGAGCTCGACTTTTGCTTTTTCTTCTTTCTCAGATCTCAACAATTTCGAGGTAAAGAAAGCTAAAACTTGAACATTAATTGAGTTGGTTGTTGAATATATTGAATTGAATATAAGTTGTTGGCATGTGTTGGTGGTTTGAAGATTAAATTATTGCATGGTGAGGTTTTTGGGTCACTTTAGCATATTGGGGTGATTTTGAATGATTGTTGTTCAATATTGGTTGCATGTTGAATTTGTTGTTGGAAATAAGATGCGGATGATAAATGCATGTGATATATTGGATTGCATGCTTGGAATTTGCTGGTTTTGAGGTGGTTTAAGCCAAAATCATGAGTCTATAAGTGTAAAACTCATCATCACACTAGGCACACCTTCATAACGTCGAGCATGGTTTCAACCAGAGGTACTATGTTTTGCTCACGTTGAACACAAGATTGGTAGTGTTGAGCATGAAGACAGATAATTGTCTCGAGTTGAAATAATGCAACGATCCATTGTGGTCCCTACGCTTAGTGGAATCACACTAACTACACTAGTTAACTAAGAGAAACTGTTAAACTGGATAACAATATAAACATATATATATATATAACAATAATAGTTATAAAAAACACTGAACTATATACAAAATAGAGTGCTATATATATATATGTGTGTGTGTGTGTAGTCATCTAAAATAATAATGTTCTCCTAGTGCCGGTTAAGCACGTCCTATTAGTTACCCAAGATGGTAACCTTGGCACTAGAACAAAACTCCAACATCCAACAACAGCCAGCTCCATACTAACCCTAACCTGCTCCTATACAAGGTATGATCATCATAATCCATCCACATGAAAAACATAAGGGTAAGCTAGAGTTCAATAAACAATCATACAAGTATAAGAATAAAATTTTATGCTACACAATCATCAAATCAACAATCATTATGCCATACCCTATCATACCATAATCATGCAATAAATTCAACTCATGATAAATATCCATACGTATCAATCATCTAATGCATCGTCATGCATTCACCTGGAGATCTCCCTAATAACATAGCAGTATAAGTGACATCTCATCTACTGAAATTACCCTGTCGACTTTTATGCCTGAAGCGCCCCGCTGGGTTAACAGCAAAATCGGGATATAGCATAGTTAGGTACAGACTTACCACGATCTTAGCATGCATTATCAAGTCACTTGTGGAGTTCACCCACCGATTATCCGCAAGAAACAACGCACCTTCCCCAGTACTTGGTTAAGGGAATAACCCTCAACCTCATACCCCACTCTAACACTAGCTAAGGACTTAGAGGAAACTCACTTAAACCAGTGGCCTATCCAAGCACCATTCTCATTCAAAACCAGTGGACTATCCAAGCACCACTTTTAAGAGATTCTATGTGAGCTATTCCAGTTCAAAACATTTTTTCCCTCTCCTCAAACCCTCTGCTAGACACATGCCATAAGGCACCATATGCAAATAATGCATCACACATCATACATGGTCAATCTACCATCATGATCAATATCATCCATGTAGAAACATACATACATACATATCAAATCAAGTTATTCATACATATCTTTCTAAGCACACATATGAATCGAGCATCACTTCACATCATGCCATATGTCGCAACCGGAGTCATGACAAGACTGACGCAAAAATTATTTTTGATGAAGCCACCACCAATTTTTTATTTTGAGGGGAAAAACATTGGAAAATCCTTTAGAAAATGTGGTCATTGAAAACAGAGTTGGATTCGGAAGTCAATTACGTGTAAGAAAGATATTAACACTCTACAACGTCTGTTAAAAACAGTACCTTTAATTAATTACGTAAAATTATATAAATTTACAAATATTTATTTTATCCCTAAGAAATGTATTTTGTTTAAAATGTGAAATAGGCTTCTTTTGTATTTTTATTTTTAAAAAAAAGTTTGGATGAGAATTTAAGTTAACAAAGGGTTAGTCATTAAACTCTAAAATTTGATAAAATTAAAGATAGAATTTGCTATTCAAATGATATTATCAATAATTACAATTGTTGATTTTTCGTAAAAAAAAACAACTTTTATCTTACTTTATGCATAAAAGCTTATGATAGCGTGTGACTATTTTATAAACTTTCATGGCCTGCGATATTAAAGGTAGGAATGTTACTCAATTAATATCGTGAATCATTACACAAGTTAAAATAATTTATACATGGGATATACTCTTTTAATATTTTTAATTAAAGAAACAAAATTTTTCATAAGGATTTGAATTAGTACATGGTTAATCAATAAACCCTTGCAATAACATTAATGATAGAATTGTTATTCAATTAATGTTCTTGATATTTATTCTTTGATATTATATTAAAATAAAACTTTCATATTTGTACATTTTATTTTATTTTATTTTGAAAAAAAACTTACACAAGAATTTAAGTTAGCAAGTGGTTAATCACTAAACCCTTACAATAACATTAAAGATAGAAAAGTTATTCAATTAACGTTATTATACAATTAACGTTACTAATTGTTTAGAGTTACAATATATATATATATATATATATATATATATATATATATAACCAAAAGATGAAAATTTTCATTTTTATACATTATATATATATATAAAAGAATTATTCTTTCAAAAGAATTTAAGCTAGCAAATGACTAGTCATTAAACTCTCATAATCAAATAACGTCAAAAATATAAAAAAAAAATGTTATTCAATTGACGTTATTAATTTTTGTATATTGAATGTTTTCTAAACAATAATTTTTGAAAAAGACTATTCATATTTTACTCCATGCACAGAATTCATAATAGTAAAAGACTATTTCATAAACCTTTT